ACTGCTTTTATTTTCTTTCTCTATTTTGGGTGCTTCAATAAGCACTTACATTGAGACTTCTGAAATGAAGTGGGTTGTGGCGGGGTTTTATTTATTTATTTATTTGAAAGGTTAGTGTCAGTTGTTACGCTTATAACTGTGAAAACTTCCTTATCAGATGGTGTCTTTCCTCACATATACTTTCAGAAATTCTGTGCACCCATTTTCTGTTTGACAGAATGAAGGGTTTGTGGTTTCCTTCATGTTTTCTGTTTATGAGAGAAATAGAAATGAGTTGGCCATTTAGGATTTATGTACCTCTGCCCATAGCGTGACTTTGACAGATTTGAGAGAAGACTTTGACATAGTTTACTACTATGCTGTGTGCAAGAAACTTGACAGGTGCTTGCTTTTGAAGTTGCAATCCCTGTTCCCCCCCCCCCACTTAAAACTGATGAACAAGCTGTGTTTGCCTGGAATTTAAGGAATTTCTGACATTTCTGTACAAATATTCTTACTCAAAATGATAGCTTATATAATTTGGGTTTTCAGGCTTATGGCTTACCCAGTGATGATCTACTTGGTTAATGTTTGCATTTAATTTGTACTTGCTAATAAGTGTGAAAAGGAATAAAAAAGCATCCAGACAACAGAGTGAGTTTTATGAGAGCTTAATGTACGTGGTAGGTTCTCAAGTGCTGTATGCAAGTTTATTCTGATGCCTTTAGGAGCAGTAGCTGTCCATTAAATGTTTTTTTGTAAATCCAGATAATGCAGCTGTACTACTGAAGTCAACTTGAAATCCCTTAATATATCCAAGAGGTTGGGTTTTACTCAGATTTGTAACTTGCAGCTCTTACTAAAATCAAATTAGAATAGTGTGTTTATTAGAATAGAATACTGTGCATACCATTTGACCGTCTCTGAGAATGAAATACAGCTAGTGACTTTATCAAAGAACATAAGTACACGCAAACCTTTCCATTAAGATTACTTATAAAATGCTGTTGCCTTTGACTGAGCTGTCCCTTTCAGGGAGTAACTTAATTGATCTAGGAAATCTGCATCTGTGTCTGGCTTTTCTGCAGCTGTCTGAGTCACAGCTTGACTCTTTACACTCGTAACGTACCTAGACTAATGGTAGCATTTAGCCTGAAAATTTATTTCTCTTGCTCAGTAGTGTTTTAGTCTAGCACAGAAATGTTGTCTTGTCTAATTTATCTAAAATGTTACTGTGGTTGTTACATAATTGACAACTTATTCATTGGCCTTACAGCTTAAGGATTCAATGCAATACTCTTCATTGTTCTGTTTTGTTTGGTTTTTTATTGTTGTACTGCCTTCTAGCAAACCACAGTTTAACGCAGTTTTAACTATACATTTTTGTTGGCTGCCGGTCATTCATTTTAATTCCAGGAATGAAGTGAGAGAGGTAAGTCTCACTTGAACAATTAAAAGGTGAAGTTACTTTGTTTAATAAATCTGAATCCTCAGAGGGTACTTACAAATGCAAAGTAATTAGTACTAATCAGAGAATTCTTATTTAACAGGAAGTCGGAGCATTTATCTTCTTAATGTGTAGGGGTTTTTTCCTGTAACACCATTAGTTCATGTTTGTTTTTAGGATGTGATTGATTCAAAAAGTTGTTTTGTATTAACGTGTTGGTGGCATTGGAAGTAACTGCATCTGTCCTGCTTTCTAGGTTGATGGAAATGTGAGCAAAATTTATTGTCAGAATCTTTGCTTGTTAGCTAAGCTCTTTCTGGACCACAAAACCTTGTATTATGATGTCGAACCATTCCTCTTCTATGTCCTTACAAAAAATGATGAGAAAGGCTGCCATTTAGTTGGATATTTCTCAAAGGTAAAAAACAATGTGTTTGCTGAACATTTGCAGTTTCCCGCTTTCCTTAATATTTCTGCCAACAGCAAAGAAAAACAATTCAGAAGCTTGAAATCTTCTCTGTAAATCTCAGCTAGAACGTGCATTGCCACAAATACACTCGTACTTTCTTGTTTCAAAGACTGATGCAAATTGAGAAATGGTATGTGCATTCAGCCACATGCATTGGGTTTTTCTTTGTTGGTTTGGTGGTGAGGGGGTTCTTGTGGTTGTTTGTGGGGTTTGTTTTGTTTTTCTTTCCAGACTGTGTTGTGGTTTCAGTTGAAAATTAAATCTTTTTCCTCCTCCTCCATTTTTGCAATAATACACTGAGTCGAGCTTCTAAAAGTGCTAGGTATTTGAAATGATGTATTTTCATGGTTTTACTGCAGGCAGTTCAAGTTGGCTGTTTAGACATAAATGGCCAGCTGCATTTATCTCTTGTGTACAGTCTGATCTGATGCAGTTACTTATTACAGTAAGTGCAAGAATGCAGTGCCTAACTTTATGGTGGATGCCTTCTTTAGAGCAGATGTCTCTATTGGTTGTGGTTTTGCTTTGAATTTTAAAGCAGAAGATGGCTGCTATAGGCAAAAATAATACTTATGTGGACTGTCTTTACAAAGATGACCAACAATCATGGTTAAGTATAGTTAGATGTCTGCAAAAGGAAAAGCTTTCGTTAGTCAATTTGTCCAAGAAATGTGATGAATTGTTATAGTTACTCAGAAATTCAGTATTTCTTGCCCCATCACCTCTCTCAGTATATAATTTTCTTGACTGTTTGTGTGAAGATATTATTTTAAAGACATCTAAATATCATCTCAGAGTACCTGCGTATTATAGTGATCTCTTGAGGGTCTGACCAGTGCCTTCCAAGACGTGGGCCTTGCTGGGATTAAGGTGAGATAGGCAGGCACTCTCCTATGTCAGTTAAAAGTTCTTGTGGCATACAAACATGTCAACTCTGATACAGGCAAGTATTTTCTAGTAGATTTATTTAAGGTACTGCAGGTGTTGAGATGAGTCTCTCCTGATGTTTGTTTCTTCTTTCAGCAAGGATACATTTTCTTCCCCCACTTCACCTCTGTTGCTTTTGGCCAGTCTGTTTGTCACATCTGATGATCACAAATGTTTTGGCTACCAAAACTTAGGGAAAAAGACATCTCAAATTCCACTGAAGTACGGAAATTGTTTACTGAATTGCATGTGTGTTTTCCTGCCCCCTCCCTCTTTAAAAAACCAAAAACAAACAAACAGAACCCCACCAAAACAAAAAAACCACACACACCCCAAAAAAAAACAACCCCAAAAAAACCTCAAAACAAAACGTGTGTGTGTGTGTGTGTGTGTGTGTGTGTGTGTGTGTGTGTGTGTATGAGCTCTTGCTGGCAGAAATGCTCTGGCTTTTCTTTCCTGATTACAGATACATTGCTGGGATGTCAACTTCATATTAGCAGCAGTCTTGGGAGTTTAGGAGGCCTACACAGAGAAAATACTTCACCGTACTGTAGAAGCTAAGAAACCTTTGTAAACTATGGCATGGGTATCAGCTCTCACAGCTGAAGAAGTGTTTGGAAACCAGCATACTGTCATGTTATCCTGTCAGTGTCATCACTGGTCTAGTGTTATCTGTGGAGGCTGAAGTGATAGATGGTGTCTTAAACTATCCATGTACTTGCCACAGCTTCTTGTCAGTTATCCTGATCTGGATATTTTTGGTTGGTTTATTTGGTTTCCCTCAAAACCACCTAGTGCTGATTTTGGTAGTGGTTTGGGGGGTTTACCTGTGTGTATGTGTTTGTGCAATCTTTTAAAGGTAGCAAGGCTTCAAGTTTCTTCCTTTCTGTCAATAAACCTGAAAGAACTTATTAACCTTACATTATTAGAATAGCTTCTTAGCTTAGATGCTTCCTTCCATTGTCTTAAACAATCAGTGTAATTTTTGCTTGCATTGGCTCTATGTTATATGACTTCAGTCTGAAAGAGCTCTGTTTTCTGAGCCTTCTGCCTTAATTTGGATTCAGGTGAGAAACATTCAGCTTTGAATAAGTTTGTATGCTTCAAATAGGACTTCTTAGTTCTATGGATATGGGATTCCTCCCCCCCACTCTGACTTCATGTTCATTCAGAGAGAAAAGACAAAATAAAGATGGAAACCAGCAGGCATTTAGTGCAGCAATTGCACAAAATACAGCTTCACCATGTGTATGGATATTATTTTCTACTTGTGTATTCTTGACAGAGTGGTCAGTGAAGCATTAAAATATTTCCTTCTTCCTCTTGTCCTTCTCCTTTACAGCACTTAAACTTCATTGTGCTGTTTAGACAATGTATTTAATTTTTAAGATGCTGAGTAGTTAACTAATTACAAATATTTTTCAGGGTATGTTTGATACTTCCTGCTTATAATTAAATGTGGAATTATTTGACTTTGGTACTGACCCCATGCATCTGTTCACCTTACTGGGATGTTTTACAAGGACAGTGGCAGGTGCAGGCAATTGCCCACTTCAGCAGTACTTTGACATACTTGATCTGTTTCTCCTTCCCACAGGAAAAGCTTTGCCAGCAGAAGTACAATGTCTCCTGCATAATGATCATGCCCCAGTACCAAAGGCAAGGATTTGGAAGGTTTCTCATTGATTTCAGTAAGTGAAGTGCTTTATTTACACTTGTGATCCAGGGACCTGGTGGCAGTTATAAGAAATTGTAACATACGAAACTTTATTTAACTTGCTTTGTTGTTTTTATCAATAGATAATGGGATTTCTGTTTATATTTACATAGGATAGAAAAGCTCCCTGAAGTGAAAAAGTTACTGCTGCTCTATTATTGTACTCAAGGAAATTGAGAATGAATCTCTTAGCAGTAATATTAGCGCACAAAGCTATTACCCTGAATGAATTGTCTAAATTACTTTCCTTTTTGCTTTGCTCATTAGTATAAGAAGAGGCAATTATTTGTGATTAAAGCTAAGAAGGTGTTAGTCCAAGGCATTCTCTACATTCTAATATTTCTAACTTATAGCTTCTTTTAGCTAAAGTACTGCTTTAGCTGAAGAATTGCTGCGTAGAGGGAATGTATTTTGTCTTAAAGTTCATCACTTCCTTTGTGGAAATTGTTACCAAAAAACCTGTAGGTGCTCATGGCTGTATATGTACTTGCTGCTTTATTTTGCTAAGTTGTCTGACCTGTTGGAAAGCTTCAGCCACACTTGTTCAAATATAGATTTGTTACTCCCCAAATCTTTAAGCTGCAATGGAACTCCAAACAAAATCATCTAACAAACTTCTCAGCTAAGTGGCCTCAGTACTACTGAATCCAGCTGCCTACTGTAATTTAGAGGGAGGATGACAAGGAATTAGTGTATATGGTATGTGGTCAGTTTTCATTATTACGTATGTTTTTTTAAATCACTGTAGAATTACATGATAATAGAGGTAGTTAAGGTAATAGGACTCCCACCCTGAAGCTGTAAGCAATAACATTAAAATGCAAATAAAAATATATTGCAATATAACAGCAGGACAGAGATAAGAATTTGTAACTGTAGAGTTTTCAAGTTCTGTGTCTTGTAGTGTTTTACCTAGCATGACTACAGTAAAGATCATTAGTATGTTTCATCATTGTAAGGCCTTATAGTCTTCACTGTACCCCTTTGAGTTAGGTAGGGATGTTCTGGACCACTTAATCCACCATGGAAATGTAGCCATCTGGGGAGTGAAACACAATAGCGGTTCCATTGTGTGCCTTTTAGGAGAGGCAGTGAGAAGTAGCGTGTATTTCTGGAACTGCAGAGTGAACTTTGGGTTTACCTAGGTAGAAATTTTCTACTTTTGGTAGACATTTGCCCTATTTTGGGTTTAGGATCTCTTCTTTAGGATCTCCTCTAGGAGATGGGGAACTCTTACTGGGCAAAACTGGTAAGTACTTCTAGGTTAAAGAAGAAAACCGAAGAAGATGGTTTTTACTCTGTGGTGTCTTTCAGAAGAAACGCTCTCAGCAAATGTTATTCTGGTTGAGTTTGTGATAGTTACGTCTGCAAAACTTGATAGCACAGTGAAATCCTTGGATTCTGCGGAAGGTCTGCTTATGGATGTGCTGTGTCTCTGGATCTGTGCTGTGTGTTACTGTGCCGTGTGCTGCTTAATCTGGAAACATCAGCAGGGTGTTGTGTTCCCCTTCTGGAAGAATCTGGAAGCACATTGGATTGTTTGTATCAGTAGGATTTCTGTGATGACTTGCGGCATGACCTAATGGTATCCTTAGGCTGAAGCTTATCTGGTGCTATTCTTACGCCTTTCCTCTTTGCAGACGTGTTCATATCACAGGTATAGACTGCAGCTGTATGCATATTGGGCATAGTCTAGAGTCTAGCTTTAGCTTCCGCTTTAGCTACCGACTGCCTGCTTTGTGAGCACACAGGCAGTCCTTCAGTACCTTGTCACCGTGTTTTTCCTTTCTTTGTTTCCCATAACTCACTGGGAGTCAGACTGCCTCAGTTTCCAACAGAATGAAGAAAAAAAGAGGTGACTGAGAAAGTCTGGCTCTGTAGTGAGAGTGAGGTACAAACTACTTCAAAGGTAGTGAAAGAACTGCTTGTGACTGTTTTTTCCCTAGGTGTAGAAAGGAAGGTAAAACTTCCAAGGCTTGTTTTCCTAGGTTGTATTTACATCCTTTTGCAGGATGGAGGCTGAATGCCGTTAAATGAGGCAGCTCTAACCTCATCTGGATTAGTGAGTCCAAAATCAGTCTTCACACAAAAAAAACCCTGAGAATCAATTGTTTACTTTTTTCCTTGGAATTTTGGGGTTTTTCCTTTTGTTTCTACCTCTGATATTGTAATTGACTGACTGCCATCTTTTTTTGTACTTCACCCTTTTTGTTCACTTTTTGTTGTCTTGAGAATAAGTTGCTATGAATGTTAAGTCTTCATTTGTCATGCAGGTAACACATTAACCTGCTCTATTTTGAATTCTGTGAAGCAGTCACTGATACTTGTCCTTTTAATATCAATAAACACAACAGTTTTTAGACTAAAAAAATAAAAATGTTAGTGAGCAAGTAATTTTCAGAAAATTATAGTTACAAACCACAGAAGGGAAGGTCTCAAGAACTGTGTGCGAGTAGTTGAGTGCTTACAATTACTTTGCATATATTTTGACATTTGACAGTTATAAAGGCTGGGAAGAGGGCAGCCTTAGGTCACTATACGAATTCTGCTTTGTCAGCAGTCTGCTGAAAATGTAGTTTGTGTTACAGAATTTGCTTCTCTGTTGGTAAGTGAAATGCATTTGTTTGTTCAGACTGTGATGCATTCTTTTGTATTGTACTAATTTAATCTTTACAGATGACTCTATGTGGTCATCCTATAACTTACAAAGAAAAACTAATTATTTTGCTAAAAGAAAAATGGGTATTTGTTGTCTGACTGTGGACTTTTTTTTTTTCAACTTAGCAAAAATTTAACTACATTTAAACTTAGCTGTATTTCAAATAGAAATTGATAATACTGCTATTTCTTACTGTGTAGACACCAACATAAAGCTTTGTGTAAGGTCTGTCTATCTCTTCAAGAATCTACGATCTCACACGTGGATAAAAGATTTTTAGGAAGAGTACTTTCTTTTGTGTGAAGAAAGGGTGCTGCAAAATGCTTGAATTCTCTAGCTTGATCGTCTTCAGCAAAAATTTCATGTGTAGTTTTCTGTATGTCATTGGTCATTTCACTAGAAAAACACAATATATGTGTCTGTATCTCTTTGTTTTTGAAAGCCTGGTAAGTTTTTGGGTTTGGGTTGGGTGTTTTTGGCAGGGAAGTTACAGGTTTTGACTGTGACAGGAACTTGTTGGGCTGTTAGAAATAGAGAAAAATTTAGTTCTAAATAGTTTTCAAACTATAATGTTGACTTGTAAAATTGTAGATTTCATACTGCTTCATTTTGCTTAATTCACTTTACTGTAAGATAAGATCAGTTTAACTTGTGTTGTTTTCTAGAAGCATGTCATGCTGAAGACAGTGGTTTACATGAAGTCTTCATTTTGTTTACACTCCTAATGTTTTTAAATATTATTTTATAACACTTTGTTGATATTTCATGTAAGGAACCTAATTTTTACCTCAAGTATACTTAAATGTACAAGAGCAGTTCCTGAAAATTAATAAGGGTCTTAATTTCTTATTATATTTATACCTTCCTGCCTTTGACAGGAATAATTCTTACTGAACTTCTTTGAGTTTGGGCTTTTTGTTTTGTTTTTATTTCCATGTTCTTGTATTCTGTGAGTTTGACTGGATTGTGATTGCAGGGTTGTACTTGAGGGAGAATAATTGACTTCTGCATAAGTCTTTTGTAGCTGCTGCAAATTAAATATGGGAGAGAGACTTTACGAGTTGGAAAATAAAACTAACAGATTTAATAAAACAATAATACTAATACTACAGGATAATAATGTAAATAGGAAAATAATGAAATATATATACAGATAAGTACAAGTATATACAAAACCAATATAAAATCCTTCCCCTGCCCTCTCCCCAATGACGAATACATCACCAGAGGCTCTGCAGAGCCGGGCACTGGAAAAGTCCCACACCAAACTCAGCAGCAGGTGGGAGCTGATGCAGAACACACGAATCAGGATCAGCGGCAGATGAACGAGCACGGTTCTGCTCAGGCCTCGGCCTCTGCAGGATCGAGACCGACGGAAGGGTCAAGATGGAAGAGCTCCAAGATGGAAGAAGGGTCGAGCCCCTCATGATTCCTCAGCTTTTATACCAAGTATGGCGTATGTGGGATGGAATACCTCATTGGTCAGTTTTGGGTCCGCTTACCCCCCTGTAAGCGCAGATATGGCACACATGGTGAGACAACTGACCTTATCTTCTAGCAGCACTTACTGAAAAACATGCTGCTAGTTTTCAGCAAGTTCAGCCACTTAAAAGAGACTGTGCTGAAAAGTAAAATCACTAAATAGAAAATTAGTTCTATTAAGCTCAAACCGGGACAGGCAAGTAGACTCCAGTTCAAGTTGATCCAGAAATAAACTAGAGAGCAGGCTTTTATTGTCTAAGATCTCTTTTATTGTATAAGACAGTCGGCCTTACTTCTGTGCCTGGGAAGGTCATGGAGCAGAAGCTCTGATAAGGCATGTGGAGCACAGAGAGGTGATTTGAGACAGCCAGCATGGCTTTACTTAGGGACAAGTCCAACCTAGTGGCTTTCTACAATGGAGTGACTACATCAACAGACAAGGGAAGAGTAATCGATGTCATCTCTCAGGACTTCTGCAAGGCCTTTGATATGGTCTCCCACAGCATCCTTCTCTCTAAGCAGAAAATACACAGATTTGATGGGTGGACTGTTTGGTGGATGAGGAATTAGTTGAATGGTCACATCCAGAGAGTAGTGGTCAACGGCTCGATGTCCAGATGGAGATGGGTGACAAGTGATGTCCCTCAGGGGTCCGTACTGCAACCAGTACTATTTAATATCTTCATCAATGATATGGACAGTGGGATTGAGGGCACCCTCAGCAAGTTTGACACCAAGCTGACTGGGGCAGTTGACATGCCAGAGGGACCTGAACAAGCTGGAGAAATGGGCCTATGTGAGCCTCATGAGGTTCAACAAGGCCGAGTGCTGGG